CCGGGTACTCGTGAAAGTTTTGACGGGGAAAATTACTATCTCGGGGACCAGTAGGATTAATCCTAGAGTGATATTTTGCTGGGTTCCAGGTTACTAAGGTAAAATTAAGCCCTAAGAACCTAACATAGGTACCTCCGGGTACTCGTGAAAGTTTTGGCGGAGAAAATTATTATCTCGGGGACCAGTAGGATTAATCTTGGGGTGATATTTTGCTGAGCCCCAGGTTACTTAAGTAAAATTAAGTCCTAGGAAGTTAAGTTGGGTTCCTTGCATCAACCGTACCTGTAGTTTTGGTTGCCAGTTTGCTTTTGCCCAACGGTGCATCGCCTTGCAGTCAGCGTGCTGGCAGCTTGATGCTGAATTCGTCTCCTGAAGGGATTACCAACTCAGTAGTTCTCTCGGGTGAGCCACTTGGCAAAGTTCCAGCCATTTCGAAGTATCCTTGGTAACACATAATGATTTATTACGTTTTGTTGAAATTTCATAGAGAGCCACTGCATCATCGTGATACAACGCCCTTGGTCCACTGTTTAATAATCTGTGGTCACCCGGGTATAAAAGCACTCCTCCCCACCTCCAGCATCCAGTGTTTTGTGTCTCGGACCGCCCTGTTCCGGAGAGCTTCGGTTTCCCAGAGCCTCGCCATATTTTTCTCTCCCCCCTCTCCGCCCCGCCCTCCTCCACCTCCCTCTCCCTCCTCCCCTCCCCTCCTGCTTTAGTTCGCTTTGGATAACTGTGTTTTGTTGCATATATAACTATAAATATATGCATATGTATCTATAACTAGGTGTTAGTTACACATACATACTCATATACATAATGCGTGGGCGGCACACTAGTTCTGACTTCTATGTTTACAGCTTAGGGATGAAACACAGACAGGCTGCCAAGTCATTGCACATGCAAGCTTGCTTATTTGGGAGATTTAAATGGCACTATTTCCAGTGTTTTCATTAATTATCAAAATTCGATTGTGTTCCTGTTCACGGTGGGCCAACAGCGCCAAACAAACTGCATATGTTAACAAATAGACGATTTCAGGCCCCCGTTCTCTTCCAGTCTTCTTGTCAGGGATATTCATTGTTTGTATTTTTAAAATTTCTACAACACTTTTAACGTTGCCGTATTGGTTTTTTTGGCTTATCTGTTTAAAAATGTATTTATCGATGGTATTAATTTTATTTACAGATATATGAAATTGGCAAACGATCCAAGCTGGGCGATGGTGGAAGCGAATCCGGCATGAAGGTGAAAAATCGGCCCAAACAAAAGGTCAGGAAAGGCGAACATGACAAATCGGCAGACATGACAACGAAGAAACTGCTTTGTGAGGAGATTAATGAATGCGAATCCGGTAATTTTATAAAAAATAATGAATTATTGTTGATGCTACTTGTCATTATTATAATTATCGTTATTTTCATTATTATTATTTTGTTACTATTGTTGTTATTATTATTATTATTATCGACACTGTTATTATTATTACTGTTATTATTCTTGCTGTTATTATTGCCATTATTACTACTACTATTATCACTGTCATTATTGTTACTATCAGTATCACTATTATCATTACTGTTATTATTAATATTATCATTACTGTTATTGTTATTATTGCCATCACTGTTATTGTCACCATTATTATTATTGTCATTATTATCATTTTTGTTGTTACTATAGGTACTGTTATTATCATTAATTTTATTAATATTAGAAAAGACCCAAGCAGGATAATAACAAAGCTAAATGT